TATATTAGGTGATCCTTGTGCATCTCAACCCTGTATGAATCAAGGCAGCTGTATGCGAGATAATGGTGGCTTTCGATGTATTTGTCCACCAGGATATTCTGGAAGTCGATGTGAAATTCGTGATGTATGTCAACCGAATCCTTGTATGAATGGAGGAACATGTCGATCTGTAAATGGAAATGGTGGATATCAATGTATATGTCCAGCTGGTTTTACAGGTTCACGTTGTGAAACAAGTAAGTATATGAGATCATTATTTTAGAATTTAAAGAGAGAAAAACATTCTATCGTGAAGAAACTTTATATTAAAACCGATGATGTCTTATTTTAGGAGATGCTTGTAATCCAAATCCTTGTTTGAATGGAGGAACTTGTATGACAAACGGACTTGGGGGATTTATCTGTCAATGTCCACCTGGATTTAGTGGTCAACGATGTGAAGATCGTAAGATATTGAAATATTTATATTTTTAATGTTTAATCTCTTGTGGTTATATTAGGTGATCCTTGTGCATCTCAACCCTGTATGAATCAAGGCAGCTGTATGCGAGATAATGGTGGTTTTCGATGTATTTGTCCACCAGGATATTCTGGAAGTCGATGTGAAATTCGTGATGTATGTCAACCGAATCCTTGTATGAATGGAGGAACATGTCGATCTGTAAATGGAAATGGTGGATATCAATGTATATGTCCAACTGGTTTTACAGGTTCACGTTGTGAAACAAGTAAGTATATGAGATCATTATTTTAGAATTTAAAGAGAGAAAAACATACTATCGTGAAGAAACTTTATATTAAAACTAATGATGTATTGTTTTTAGGAGATTCTTGTAATCCAAATCCTTGTTTGAATGGAGGCACCTGTATGACAAATAGTTTTGGAGGATTTACTTGTCAATGTCCCCCGGGATTTAGTGGTCAACGTTGTGAAGATCAAGATGGTTGTGCGAGTCAACCATGTAAAAATAATGGTGTTTGTGTGAGTTCAGGTGGTGGTGCATATACATGTCAATGTCTGACGGGTTTTGAAGGACAAAATTGTGATCAAGGTTTGTTGATTTATAGTTCTTAGTGTGATATTTCACATTTCCTTTTTTTCTTCTTCTATTATTTAAGTTGATATTTGTGGTGTGAAAAATCCATGTATTTGTGGTACATGTCAAAATGATCCATCTAATCCTCAAGGTTTTCGTTGTTTCTGTCCGTCTGGTTATTCAGGAGATCGATGTGAAAAACGTAATGAATAAAAACGAAAAAAATCTTCTTCTTTCAATGTATGTGTGCACTTTGTTTGTTTTTTTTTAGTAATTAGCTGTGTAGATAGTGGAGAAGAATGTATAAATGGCGGTGAATGTATACAACGTCCAATTGGTGATTATGTTTGTTCATGCCCTTTTCCATATTGTGGTTCACGTTGTCAAAATCAACGACCATTCTGTGATGGTATATATAAATATATATCTATGATTAACTATGAAAAATAATTGGGTATTGAATTTTCTAGGTAGCAATACTGCTGTTACACCAGTTGTAACAACATTAAATCCTGCATGTTCTTCCAGTCTTTGTAATAACCGTGGTACATGTCAACAAAATGGATATGGAAAAGGTATACAATGTTATTGTTCAGCAGGATGGTCTGGTTCACGATGTCAATATGGTAAATGAAGATTTGACTATTTAAAATATTTATGATATATTATTGTTCTCTTGTTTTTTGTTTTAATGTCTTGTTTAGCTATGCGTACAAATGTTGGTCGTAGCCAAGATTTAATACTAAAAAATAATCGAACCATTTTAACAAGTACTACTCGTACGCATACTCGACGACTACGTGCATAAATTTAAAGAAGAATATATATATATGCATATATATTAATTTAAAATGTTATTAATCCAATTAGCTTCTTTATTTGCAGATATTCTTCTTCTTCTTCCTTTTCCTTCGCTCAGAACAGTATATGTCTATTATTTATTATCATTTTGTTTTTCGTTTTTTTTTGCTCAGGTTAAAATAAATTGATGATTATTAAAAAATTTTGAAAATACAAAAATTCAAATATTTATTTAAAATAATAATCGAAAAATGAGTTGGTTATTTTTTTTTGTCTTAACTCAAATGAATTTTAAAAGAAAATTATATGAATAATAAGCATAAAAAATATACTAAAACTTCGATGCATTGATTTCATAATCAGTGAAGCAATATTTTTTCTTGAATTTCTTCAACGACTAAAATAGAATTTATATTAATAAATTCACTACCCACTGATCATAATCTTATGTATAACTACGCTTAGATTGAGTTAAATTATTTGAGTTCATTGTCAAAAATCTCTCACAGTTTGAAATTATATTCGAAAACAAAACTTATGATTAGACACTTTGTAAAACATCTTGTATAATTAAAAATCAAAGTAACCATTTGTGTTGGTGTCCACAAAAAAAAGTCTATATTCTAAGTGCAATCTACAATAAGTATTTGTGTGATATTCTCTCTCTCAAACTCTATCTCGTCTTAAAGCTTTGATAGTGTGATATTCAGTTCTAGTTCTCTGCTGTTACTTTGATATCGTTACGTAAATTAAATAAATACAAAATTTAATATACCTATATGTAATGTTTGTATGAGGCTTTGTATTAATCATAATTGAATCCTTTAATAAAATATATATGTTTCATTCGATAAATCTGATTGAATATTACCGTTCGATTATTTAATTGAGCTTGTAATCTTCCATCTGATTCATTATAAGCTCTTTGACAATCTCCACCATATAGTGTATCATTTGTTAAATCAGGTAAACTTTGTTTATGAAGGCTAAAGAAGAATAAATTAATAAATCTTTGAATTAATATTAAAAAGAAAAAAAAAACGAAAAGTCAACGTACCAACTGCGTAAGAGTTTTTCGATTTTACTAAGATCATGGTTAAAATTAATTAAATATTCAGCAATGAGATCATCTGTTTCCAGTTTTTCACAACAAACTTTATAAGCATGTGCACGTTTTTCATGATGTAAAATCATAGGATCAATAATAAGAATCTTATTATCTGCTAATGCCTTTGTAATTGACTCTACATCTCTCGATCGATCTGCTCATTTGGTACTGGTTTGCTCTTCGAAGTAATTGTTTGCTGGATTTTATCCAAAGCAGTCTAAAATAAAGTTCTTCGTTACAATTTGATTCTATTTTGATACAAAGGAAAACATGTTCGACAAACTACAAACATTCATGAAAAAAAAAAGACCTGGCAATTTCACTATTTCACAGAGGTCAGACTTATATTTTTTTAAATGATTTTAATACATTCATTTATCAAATATGTAGAAAACAGTTCTTGTTGAAATATATGCTGAACATCATTAAAGTAAGATGTCAGCATTGAGTATAAATCGTTCTATACGTAGCATTAGAGTTTACTCACGCTGAATTCAGTGAAAAAAATTTTGTTCGGATAGGTAAAAACAGCATTTTTTGACCCGTATTCAGCAATTTCTGTCGTAATATTCATCTTTTTAAATCCAAACAAATAGCATTTTTGGAATCAGTACAGAAAAAGGCGTCGATCGATGTCTGTTTCAAACGTTTTTGACAACTTTTATTTTGAGTCAAAATTTAAGCCAGGGCTGCCTCAAAAATAAGTTGAAAAAATAAAAATCGTCCAACAAATTTGAAATATATATAGATTGACGTGTTTTATTTTATACAGATCCCGAATATTCTATTTGTTTGAATTAAACAGACGATTATTACGACAGAAATTGCTGAAAACTGGCCAAAAAACGCTGTTTTGATCTATCCGAACAACATTTTCTTGACTGAATTCAGAGTGAGTTAATTTTAATTATATACATAGGATGGTATATACTCGATGCTAGCACCTTACTTTAATGATGTTCAGCATATATTTGAAATTTCAAAAATACTTAAATAGTGGTCTCAGCTTGTTGTGAAACTGAAAACAAACATCACCATTCGACTTACGATAATCAGTTAGTCTTATGTTAAGCACTTTTGAAGTCTTTCCAGGTAAGTTTGTTGAAATCAGGAATCGTAGAGAAATTCCTTATAACTCTTGAGCAGAACATGAGCTGGCAATCAATAGAATAAAGCATTTTTGCGAAAACTTTTCATCGTCTCTATTGAAGAGCAATGATAAGAATGTGTTACATTCAAACTTATAAGAATGAATGCTTGGTTAGTCTTCTTGAAATCTAAGGGTACATTGAATTCTTATAATTGTGAATATATTCTCATTTGAGCTTTTATCTATAATTTTATATTTACGAAAATAAAATGATGTTCTCTTACCTTCAAATTAACATATATATTAGACATCATTTGTCGGAATGGTTTACTTATTTCATCACTAAATTTTTTGTATTCTTTAAGACTTGTTGAGTTTGTAGTCAATGTCGTACAATAGGATATTTCACTTTGAAGCAATTTGTGTGGCTCCCAAAGTAGACGAAGTGCTGAATGACATTCTTTGACCGTCCTTGAATGTTAATTATAAACAATGTTATCTATATAAACTTGTCTTTCAATTGCGGTATCAAGTACTGTTAATATGGATTTATCAGCAGTTACATCAGCAAAGCTAATAAAGAGATAATAGTTCATATTCGAATTTAATTCAATCGAATATTGACTGTTTTCTACTACAGATAACTGTAATATCAAACATTTTCATACTACTGTTGATTTCCTCACTCGACAATATTTTGATGAGATTCATTCTATATGTTCATGCCAAACTTGCAATCATGTAGAGAGCTTCATGACAATTCTTTTGCACATTTTTCAATGATTTTTTCTTGTTCTTTTCATGCACCATAACTATTGACATATTTTTTAAGTTTATTTTCATCTACTATTTTCGTTGGATGACAACAACAAGTTAAAAAAGCTTCAACACGCACACGATGTTCCATAGCAATAGGTTCAAAACTTAATTTAATCCAAGGTTCTAATTCTGCTTCTAGCCGTTTGATATCATTCGTTACATCATATGAGAGTCTTTCTTTGTCATCTACCAATTTTAAAATCCGATAGATAATTAAGTTTTTTCATTTTTTTGAATTATCTTCACTCTTGAACATCTAAGCAATTCTGACAGGTTGATAGGACAGTGGAACGGTATCGTTTATGAAAAATAAATTACTGATATCCAATTCAACTATAATAAACAGAAAGGAATGCATAATGATAAAATCATTTTTCATCCCAGACGTTTTTTTTTTGCATAAAAATTACCTAGATGTGACAAGACAATCATGAAAAATGTTTTTTACGAATCATTTTTGCGAAATTCGTCTAAATGATTGCCGGGCAGTTAATCGAAAAATCGAATTTTATTCAATTCATTCCAATAATTGTGAATACATTTAATTAACCATTTTTTTTCTCGTCATGAGCTGTTTTAAACCTGATTAACTGTCTAGGGCCTTTTTAAAAATTATATGAAATTGGTTTTTTAGATGTAGTCCTTGTCTCTGCTTTCGAATATGATATTTAAATTGAAATTGGAACTTATTTTCGAAATCAATATAAAAAACTACATCTAAATATCTACAAAAGGCGTTTGACCAGGATCGAATTAGCAAGTTGAGAAGATGTCAATAATTTATAAGAAACTGACGAATGATTTTTTGAATAAGTTTTCAGTTTAGACTCCCAACAATACTGAACTTGAGTTTGTACAATTATCATTTTATACGCGTTGGATAGATCATTAACTTCTGTATATAAAAACATATGTTTGACTATTTTAGACTCAGCAAAATTTCATATTTCTGAAATATGAGAGTAATATTCGTAATCGGTATGAAATTCACTTCAGAATGTGTGTTTATTCCAAAAAGCAGCGAGAAAAGTTGTTAACAAATTCTTGAGAGAAATGTAAGTGCGAGATCGAAAAAATCGGCTAGACAAAATTTCGCAAAACTAAGTTGTACAAAATGTTTCTCAATTGTTCACGAAAAATGGTCTCTTCATCACGTATCCTTTCAAGATTCAGTAAACTCCTACTGTTATATTTTACCTGATTCATTGTCACTGTTTTTTGGTTTGGTAATTTTATATGTTTTGAATAAACTTGTTAATCATGAAACCACTTTACCTATGTAATAATATATATTTTCAAAGACAGATGATTCTTTTCTTTGGCTCGATTTTACTAGATTTGTGTATGATGACATGTACTTTCTTTTTCTTTCCAGATTCATGAGACATCGATTTGTTGCTGACAACATCATCGTCGCAAGTCGTGTCTAAAGATTCAATTGTGGGAAGCTCATTCTTAGCACTGAGATGTGCTTTAGTTTCTGACTTTACGTCAATAAATAGTATATAGAATAATTATATATGTTATATTTTGAGTTAGTAATACCTGATTCAATCGTAGTATCAATATGATTGGATCGAGTTGGATCGATATCAGAATCCAAGTCAACTCTCTTTTTTCGTGGTTTGTTGTTTAATATGTATTTGGTCTTTGAAAAATATTGATTGTTGTAATGAAATTAGATTGTAACTTGATGGACTTCTTCATGGTGTGTTTTTATTTAGGCTTTTTTGGGTCTTTTGGAAGTGAAAATTATTTATGTATTTTTGCTCAAAAACTGTTTAAATAAATCAAAAACAAAGATCACAAGTCTAATTAATATGCTGGTATGTAATTACCATTTTTGTTGTTTCTTGATTTGCTTAAATGTAATGATTTTTTATCGTTCGCTTCACTTATTATTGTTAAATAAGTTATGAATAATATAATAGATAATATAAGAAATTTTTTTAAAGACATTCGAAATTGATAAATCCGATAGACAAGTGAACTTTATATTAGCAGTAAATTGGAATAAGAATACAACTGATAGACAGAAGACGAACTTAAATGATAGAAAATAACCTTAGTTGTAAAAGAAAAAAGGTGCTAGGTATATGATATAAACTTTCTCGCACAAATTTATTTGAATTGAAGTTTCCTTGCATTGAAATGAAATATTCATAAATGATACGGTGCGACGCATAGCATTTAGATAGCCGGCTGCGTTCGTATTTGGTCTTCATACTGTGCTTGTATTTCGCTGTAGCAAACTCTGAACTTTGTGGAGCAGCGTTCTAGATAACAACGAATCGCTAGAAACTCATTCGAGCTTTCTTAGATAGATCAATTTCTTGAGATGATACGAATGTTTTTGAATATTCAATATGAGTTTCCGGTCATCTTGAGGATGTTTCACAAAATGACGATTTGGTCTCCGCGTTTTGCTCGAGATAATTAAAAGTGGTGAACTAATTAGTTTCGAGTCAGCTAAATTGCTAGCTCTTATGTTATATATTTCGTCCTCTGTCTAAATAGGGCTACGGTAAGCTTTTTACTCCTGCTAACCATAGTGCAGTAAAGGTATATAACTTAATTGATATAATTTGTTTGAATTTCAAATATAAGAGTTTTGTACGGAAGAAGATTCCCTAGAAATCCATGCTGTTAGAACAACTTTTACTTTCTTCGATGCGTGAATAAGACAATACACGAACGTCTATCTTTGATTGGTGTATACATATAGGAGACGATTAAAACAATTTTCCAACATAAAATATCTATTCAAATACAATATGTAATGCAGTTTATAGTTCTCTTGTTCATGTTGTTCTATTGAATCATGTATCATGCACAGAGGCGGCGGAGCGATTCTAATCTAGGGGAGGCTCAAAACTTCTCAGGAACGATAGGAAGGTGATGTTCGGGGAGGGATATTTTATAGCTTTTCCACTTTAACTATTGTCAAGGGATATCGGATGTCTCAATGTGTTTTTGAACAGCATCTATTTGAAATATATATCCTTCTATAGGCGACTGATATAATCTAGGAGCGTTGTCGAAAGATGTTCTATGGAAGTTGAGAATCCTTCGTGGTTTATTTTTTTTTGGAATTTCCAGGATTCATTTTAATTAAAAAATTTCTCTATTTCATAGCATCGAACATAATATAACTTTACTAAAAAAAATCCACGATTT